ATATATATATATATATATATATATATATATATATATATGTACATACCGTTGATGTGGAGGTATAGTGAAAAGCGTCGACTCTTTTTTCCGTCAACCAATAATCCATAAAAGGGCCAACTAACAGCAATGATACAGCTTGAGGTGGTGCAGTGTGTCCTAACAAGTTGAACGAACCAATAGAATGCTTCCTTTGGAGAAAATGAACGTACTGCAAATGAAAATATACTTTAATCGACAAAAAAATACTATGTAATAAAGCAGTTAGCAACTGTAATAAAAGCCGAAGTCCGTTTTCTTAAATGCTAATATCCAATAAAATTAGTAGCTTCTGTTCCGTGCGATTAATTTTGTAGTTTTCTTAGTGGTTAAAAAAGAAAAAGGCCATTTTATCCATAAACTAGTACAAACTAGGATTTGATTATCGTTAATTTAGAGAGGTTATAGAGAAATTGCATTTAGTACAATCCAAAATAATCCGACCAATAAAAATTAACGAAGGCCTTTATAAGTAAAGGGTAAGTACTATGACTTACATATTGCTGTAGAGCAGTGCTCCAAACGGCAATGAAAGCCGCGATAAATCCTTTGGCATTAACACTCACATCTGTAACCGTGCAGATTGCAACACCCAATAGAACAACTAAAATGCTTAGCTTTGTGTCCCTCGAATACTGCACCCTGTCCAATACTACTTCAAGAAAACACGAAACTGGAATCATGCTCAGCTTCGCAATCTACACAAAAGATTTAAAAGAAAAAAAATAAAAAAATCACGAATCGGTATCTTGAGTTTTTTTTTTGTTCCCGTCTAGAGTTTGAGGGTAAATATGTAAATGGAATAGCAAAAAATTGTGAACCTGATAGAATCCGACTGAATTCCACATTAAGCTGACGTTCATTCCGACAATAGAAAAATTTGAGAATATAACAAACTTAATAATATCCGATGATGGGAGATGAGTCGTTTGGATATATCCGAGGTACTTTAGAATAAGAGTCATCATGGTAGTTGCGGCAAAATGGAGGCCGGTTAAAGTCGTAGCTGCAAATATAAGAGTTACGAGGGATCAAGAAAATATGGACAAAAAGAAATATAAACAATATACTGTTTTTCGTAAAAGCTATATAAATATATTGACTGACAGCCATTAACAGAGAAGTGAGGTCGCTTTGTATTACGACATTCTTTTTCATCAATCCAAGTTAGGGGTGGAAATCGAAGAATCGGATCGAAATTAGCACTTCCGGAAAAAATCTAAAAAAAATCGGAAGTGATAAACTAACACCAATTCCGTTCCGAAAAAAGATTGGAAATTGGAATGAATAAACTTGATCCAAAATCGGAAATTTTTCGGATCGAAATTGGTGGAATTCGGAATTTCAATTTTTTCTCAGTCACCTATGATATAAACTACATAATAATATTGATATTCAAAGTGGGAAAAAACAAAATTAAAAATCTGAAATTAAAATCGGATCTTGGGAATCAATATGTATTCCAATTCCGTTCCAAAAAATCGGAAATCGAACATTCGGAATTCGAAATGAAAAATATTGTTCCAAAATAGGAAATATTCGAATCGGAATCGGACTGTCAGAACATCTTGTTTACAGTTTAGCTACATCTACAAGTAGAAGCAAAAAGAAGACTCCAAAGTATCCAAAGTCAAAATCAAAAAGCTCGTGTGGAATAATGTCAATGCAGATAAACAAGTATTCTTGAATAAGGAAGATAATCAAAGACATTTCGAGTTATTCGGCAGTTGTAATAAACATACCGAAAGTGAATCCATAAGTAGCCATTAAAGCTTTATTGACCATAATAATTCCGACCGAGGTTACGATATTGAAAAGCCATGCAGCCAGATCGAGAGAAACTTTGCGGCTATCTTTGCTGCCCTTTGGCGACATTTTCTTCTACTGCTTCACGGAATAATTACAACCACATCAGTTTAAGGAGACAAAACATTTTGCTCGTATAGAAATTATATGTCAAACGTCTTCGAGAGAGATTTTATTTTTTTTAAAATAAATTCCTGGAGGTTATGCTATGCTTAATAAGTTCAGACGAACACCCTTTAAAGAGTTTAGAGAACTAACCGAAATACTAGACTAAGGCAATGAATTAAGGAATTTGTAAGGCAGCCACCGAAGCCGAATTAGCCAACGACCCGAGATTCTGCAAGAAAAAAAAAATTAAAATATTTAAGACATCACCTCGACTTCACTATTTAACATTCTCCAAAAAAGTCATTAGATTGTCATATTTACGTGGTGTCTGCAAAAGCTTTTAGAAACGGCTTATGAGCTTTTTTCACTCATAATCTGTTTTTAGGTGTTTGCAAAATTAGCTTTTGCTTTTGCTTCTCTAAAAATAATCTGCTTTAAGCTAGTTTTTTAAAAACACCCCTAGACCTGCTTTTTCTTTTTCCATTTAAGTTCATCTTTTTAAAAGCACCTCCACTTAACGCAGAATCACTAAATTCTGCTTTTAAATAAACTTTTGCAAACACCACTTAACGCACAATAAGCAAGCTCACTCCATCTCGCCCTAACATTAAAAGAAATTTCCGATTCAATTTGCAAGGGTGCATTTTCGGATTTGGAGGAATTTTTTTGAAACGACTCCAAATGAGAAGGGTTCGTAACATCAAAACCACCGACTCAAAAAAGTAACCACAGACGAGAGTTAAGAATTTAAAGAAAAAAAAAACAATTGTGAAATGAATCAATCCGAATAAGTTCAATAAATTTAAAAATCGAAAATCACGAGACGAGACATTAATTATTATTCATTTTCCTCTCAAACAAAATACAATGTGCTGCAAATGTGAAAAAGGAGATAATTCAATAAACAAAAAATACACTGCACATACAATTCGAGAAACAAATCCAATCACTAAAAAAAATCGGAAATCTGATCAAGCAAACATAAATTCATCACTCTAAATAAACAAGAATATCAACACAGTCATCCCAATAACTAAGAACTCAAAAAACTCTGATCCCCTCCTATTTCAAAATTCAGCAAATAAATATCCCATTAAAAAATATATATATCAAACCAGAGCAACATGAATCATCCTCTGCTAATTCAAAAAAAAAAAAAAAAAAAAAAAAAAAAGACAAGCCCAGAAAATAAAAATGAAGTAATGAAACAAAGAATGCGGAAAGACGAGATTTTGATTACTTACATAGGAAATCGGAAGGGTGTTAAGAAATGGGGATGTAATAAATCATAGAAAGAATTAAAATCAAATATTTATAAAGGGGGGTTGAAAGAAGACTTTTAGTTGCGCCATTTTGAAGAGACGTGGACTGGAGAAAGAAACTCCAGCTCTCTCTCTCTCTCTCTCTCTTTCTCTCTCTCTCTC